CCCCCCCCCCCCCCCCAATCCATCTGTATAATTTTTTAGCTCTTGTAGACTTTATGCCTAAATAGCCCTTACATTTTAGGGTAGGTTATGCTACCAGAGTAGGATGAACTATCTTTTTATTTCATCCCTCATCTGCTTATTTCCATAATTGTGTTTCCGAAGGACTATAGCTAAAAGAATTATCCATTGCATTTCAGTCAGTCGTATGTTCTTGCTCTCATTTGATCAAAATTTTTTCAATTAGCACTCTGGCTGCCTTTTCTGTAGCATTTAAGAAATTTCTGTCTAAATAAAAGTTCACTTGTTATTAATTCAATTTTTATGAAGCCTTCTCCCTTTGGACTGACTAAAAGATTAGATGCTAAGAGGTAGTATATGAATTTAGGTGGAGTTATGCTCACTTGGTTTATGCTTTTCTCTAGTATGACTCTGTATCAAGCTGCATGAAGTATTTTTTTTTTTTGCATTGCACATCTTCCTGACCTCAATACAAATCTTCCTTTTCCTCTTTGGCTAGAGAGCCTCTAAGGTGACGAGGCTTCTGACTGGGGAGTTGGGACCCAGGGAGTTAGCAAAAATTGGGCAGGATTAGGCTATGCCACGAGGACAAAACGTTAAAAGGATATGCTCTGTGCAACAGTGCCATTAGAGAAGCCTTACTTGGGGTTCCCAGAAGGATGAAGGTGGTTCATGTTGTTTCCTCAGAGCCTTCAAATCAGTCAGTCAGCTGGTGTAAGGTGGAGGCTGTGGCCATGAAGCCTGGCTTGGTGAACGTGGTGAAAGATCTTTCTCCTCCTCCCCCTGTCGTGGTCATGTCCCTCAGCATGAAGACTACTCAGAACCCAAAGACTCACCAGAATGAGGTAAGTAATCATTTTGGTTTGGTTTGATTTCGTTCTTCAACGTATACTAAAATTTTTCTAAGGCTTGGAACAACTTCTCCTGATGAAACATGCTTAAATATATTAACTGTTGAATAACTTTCAGTACCGCGGGCTTTCCAAAGAGATTCTTACTGGGGTCTCACCAGCATGAGAACTGTGGGTTCAGGGGGCCTGCTTGGTGAGAATATTTACTGTGTCAGCAGATCCTACGTATTTTTTTCAAGCCTTCTATTTTGTCTCTTGTGCATAATAGTTATAAATTAAACTGTCCCAGAACAGCTGTTAATAAGTTTGTTTGGGTTTTTTTGGTAGAGCTAATCATAGGTTCTAGGTAAAATGACTGGATTTTTCTGTTGATAAAACGAATTCTGAAATAGAATGAGAATTTTATCTAAATCTCACAGCACCTACTATTCTGTTGCGAGATCTTTCCTTTTCTCAGAAAGGAGGAGAGATGCAGGTGGCTTCTCTCAGTTGTGGACTGCAGACCACAACGCATAGTTAGGCATGTTTATCTGTTTTTTTTTAACATAAGTCTCCCCTAGCTTAGGAAGAGATTTAGCATTGACTAATAGGGTAGGATAGTTGTTTCTGGCTAATTGAATAGAAGAAAAATGAGGCTGACAGATTTTTCAAGCAGCATTAGTTGTCTTTGGTGAAGTTAAAAATTTTTTTGAGGGAGCAAAATTTCTAGTTTCTAGCCAACGTAATGAGACATATGCCAGGTACCACCAGGACTCTGCTTGCCAAGGTGCTTCTAAAGCCTGTCTGCTTTGTCTTCTGTTGGGTTTTCCTGACCAGTGTCTGGGGAACCGTGACGTCCTGGCACCAAAGCAAGCAGAAGCATCAGTAAAGCTAATAGCTTTGAAATGCTAAAACCTCTTGGCTTCTTGGCTGCCTTAACTGCTTGCACAGGGGTGGCCCTTCTGGAGACAAGGCTTCTGCATGTCCTGCCCTGCTTGCATCTCTCCTGTACTTACTTCATAAGGAATCCTTTAAATTTGGGAGTCTATTAAGATTCAGAACAAAATTTGATAAAAGCAGAGTTTTCCAAAATTAATTATTTTACCTCTCACATTTCTAAGATAATCATTTTAAGAGTAAGTTCTGCTTTATTTTACTTGAGATCAATCAATCAACTTTTCTTTTTAACTATTTATAGTTGGAATTAATTTTACAAAGATCTTTTTTAGAAATGAGAAAAAAGATGAGGAAAGTTTAAAAAAAAGAAAAAAGGAAAGAAACAGGTACTGACAGTGGTCATGTTTATGAAGTGTTCTGTATCTCCTTGGTATAGATTGTGGCTATTGCAGCTCTGGTTCATCAAAAATTTCCTTTGGATAAGGCTCCACCTCAGCCTCCTTTTCAGACACACTTCTGTGGTATGTACTTGGAAGAATTTACGAGTAGAAAAATAATTCCTTTGGAGTTTTTCATTTGTTGTTATGTGTTTTGGATTATTTATTTATCACATCATTCTATCACTCCAGCAACAATGGCTCAGAATAGGTAAGTGACAAAATTTCAGCTTCCCGGCAGGCTTTTCTCCCTGTTTTTAACTTCACTGGTTACTGATTTTTTCTTGAAGACTTTATTGAAAAAGTCTTAGTTTGAGGTGATGCAAAGTAACCCTGATCTGTACAGTTTCCCATAATTTTTATTAGTTTTACTTCATGTGTTATCTTGGATTACTTTCTTCACCCGTTGATTTAGACAGTTTATTTACTGTCACTTAGTTATTTTTTTTTCCGTTCTTCTGAACATAATTTAAAAAATAAACTTGTCATATTTATTTATAAACAAGTTTTCTTAGGAAAAAAATACTCTCTCAGTAGTGTCATTATAGTAAGATCAGCTAAACCTTGAGATTCAGACCCCAGTCAGAAGTGAAGAGTGTGGGTGCTTGTGAGTGGAAGTTCTTTGGAAGCTGGGCAACAATGGAACAGGTTGCCCAGAGAAATTGTGGATGCCCCCTCCCTGGAAGCGTTCAAGGCCAGGTTGGATGAGGCTTTGAGCAACCTGGTCTGGTGGAAGGTGTCCCTGCTGATGGCAGGGGGGGTGGAACTAGATGATCTTTAAGGTCCCTTCCAACCCAAACCATTCTGATTTTATGACAGTTTTAACCTCCAATGACAACCTCAAATGTGACTGATTAAAATTGTTTAGTACTTCATTAATTACTTTATTATCTTAACAACAGGTATTCACATAAGGTTAGCTTTTTAGAATTAGAGGTTAGTTTTCCTTAGCTCCCTTTGTTGTGGATGGATGCTTATGGGGAGGGTACAATTAAGAACATGTATGTAAGAACAAATCTAATTTCTTTTGCAGCTGTTTCCAAACCGAACGATTGCATTTTTCCTTATGACTTCAAAGAAACTATCAAAAAGAAGGTAATTTCATTTTGCTAGCCTTCTGATTGCAGTACCTTTTTAGATATGAACTTAATGTTGCTTTGGGTAAGTAGTGTAAGAGAAATATTCAAAGGAATTGACATGATTATTTCATTACTTTTCCACTCTGCAAACCTAAGTCCAAGTATTTATTCTGTGTGCTCTGTGTGATCCTATACTGCTGCTAGTAGTGCTCATAAATAGATGGGAGCATTAGACAAGAGAGTTGGAAAGGTTTTGCAAAGAGGCTAAAATTGTCATTTGTTTTCATTATACCTGACTAGGTACTCAAAGTAAACTGGGAGAATTTGTTTCTTCTTTCCTTGGAGAGTAAAGTCTGTCAAAATTTAGAAGACATCATTTCTAAAGGGCACTGGGAGAGCTGGCAGAATAATGATGTAACCTATTTTTGTTTTTCCTCTGTTTCTGTGTGGTCTTAAGCCTGTGACTGAAGGATGCACATGGAGCATTTTCCTGGTGTGCTTGATTCTTAGGAGGCTCTTAAAATATCACTAGACACCTGCATACAAAAGCAAAATGGAAAAAAGCCTCTGAGAAAAGCTTTCTATGTCTATGGGAGTGAGAACAAAAAGCCTTGAATTATAGAAGGAAAGGGAGAACTCTGTGGTGCTTTATTATTGTCTTGTAACTAGTAGGGGAGAGGAGATGTTTCCATTTTAAACTTATTGGGTCATTGAAATCAGGTGCTCTCTTGCTCCTTTTAGAATGCTAAAATAGAAATTGCTGCAACAGAGAGAACACTGCTGGGATTTTTCCTTGCGAAGATTCACAAAATTGACCCAGATGTTGTTGTGGTGAGTAGATCTGAGACTCAGAGTTAAATTAAAGCATATTGGCAGTTGGTCAGCTTTGTTCTTTTTCTTTTGTCCCCTTACAGGTTTTTTAATGTTTATCTTAGACTGCCTTATGGATTGAATTTACTTATAAGACAGCAGGTATACTTTGATACAAAGATGATACAGAATTTTCCCTGACAGCATTTTATACATCCTATTATTTCCCATAATATTCAAAATAGGCAGTATTTCCATAGTACCTGAAACAAGTAATTTTTTATTCAGAAAGACAAAACACAACAAAAAACCCCTTCTGATTCTCTAGAAAAATGAGAACTCTTGGTGTACCTAAAAGTCTGTTTCAGTTCAAATGCTCATATAATTTGTGTCACCATTTAGACTGTGTTTATGCTGTAAATCAAAATGATAACTTGTAGAAATCCATGGGATCTGAGGAAGGTTTTGTAATAAGCATTCTTATGTTTTCTACTGCATTGGACAGTATTCTACAGCATTGACAGCTGAGGATTTATTATCATTACTCATTTTCTTTTTTTATGTTTAATTAATGTACAGTCCTGACTTTCATTTAATGAAATTTTGAAGACAATTTGAAGTTGGTTATAAATCTGAGGTTGGTTATATACAACTTGTTACTCTTCTGTAGGCAAATACAAATAATTAAGTGATGGGAATGGGAGGAAATGAGCAGTCAGATTCCTGATGGTTTCAGCTCACTGTGGCTGGTATCTGGTGTTTGCTGTAGGACCTGAGCTTACTCTTGGTTATGGGAAGGAATCAGGGGAAACTCCGCAGCCGATGATTTTAAACTGAAGATGCCAGTAGCAGGGATGTGAGAGGTCTGGTCCTAAAAACAGCAGAGTCGTGTTAGTGCAGTTTAATTTGCACCTGGTTTAATTAGTGCTGTTGAAAAACAAGCTAATTCAATATAGGTAGGACCCCTCTACTATGGCTGTAATGAAGCTGCTGATTCTGTGGAGCTGCTTCTATAGCACAGTGTTGTACTACATGGATGCATCTGGTATGGTGAACCTGCAGTTCCTGGTGAATGACTGATCCACAGAGACTCATGTTCATCAGGGTGGTATTTTGCTTTTGACTGAGGCTACAGACCAGTGTCATCCATGTCCACGCTTAGCAAATATTGCTGGAGTACTTTGATATGTAAATATTAGTTGCAAGGTCTTCCAGATTTCACAACTATGCCTGTTGTAGTATCAAAGGAAAAAAAATTACATTATTTTGATGTCAATATTGAGACTTTCATGGATGGAGAGAAAAGGAATGGCTCATAGATAAGTTTAGATGCTTTATAATGTTGTTTTTTCTCCTAGAAAGCTTTAAAACCTAATCTTGGGTATCAGAGCATAAAGCTGAACCATGTGTGCTATTAGCCAGTTATAGAGCTGATTTTGGTATCTGAACAGCATTGTTAGTCTTAACACCAGTCAGTACTGTTGATGAATGTTCTCTTGTGCTTTCTATGAGAGAGAGATAATGCCATCAATTAGCTGGGGAAAAAAACACAAAGGGCAGAGGAGTACTGAGCGTGTGAAAGTAAGTCTTTCAATTTGCATTTGTTGTAACCTTTTTTGTTGTTTTTTTTTCTGTTGCAAGGGTCATAATATTTATGGATTTGATCTGGAAGTGCTGCTTCAAAGAATTAATGTGTGCAAAGTCCCTCACTGGTCCAAGATAGGTCGACTGAGGAGGTCCAATATGCCAAAGCTTGGGGTAATAAGATTGTTCAAGTCTTTTAAGCCCCTTTATGTTGCATGTGATTAAAAAGTAATTAATTTTGCTGAGGAATTTTAAGTGTGATACTGATGTATTTTGACTGCTGGTCATGCTGGATTTCATGTGTCCCGGATCAGAAATGATGAGTGTTTATATGACTTTTATTGCAGTAATAAGCTAAACTAATTTTCAAGTTAGGCTAATTTAGTTTACATATCTCAACTAGATGATGGTAATGACAGATTAATTGCAATAGTCTTTGCTGTAACAGTCTTTGTCTGCTAAAACTGTAAAATTAGAAAATGTAATTTGGATTGATTGGTGAATCATTCCATAGAGAGCTGCCAAGTTAGTAATTCTGTAGTTCTTGGTGCGTATTTGTTCAGCGGACTATGTGTGAGGCTTGGAGCTCTGAAGTGCTGAATGTGGCCATGTTCTTGCCTGTTCCTGCCCTTCCTAGAGGCCAAGAGGAGTATTTGTGTGTGGTTTGTTCTGTGACTTTTTTGTGCTGCTGTTAGTGCAAAAAATATCCTCAGAGGAAGAACAAAATGCACACCCACATTCCTATTGGGACTATTCTAATTATTAAAGTGAAAAAAAAGAATGTATGAACATTTAAGAATTAAGATCTAACTAGTAATGAAAGTTAAGTATCTACTTGTTAATATCCATATATACTGAAGGATACCATGTGTTCCTTTAGGGCATAATTATAAAGCTTGAGTATTAGTGGTATTTAGTAGAGTATTTAGAGTATTCAGTGACCCAATGACTTGACTGAGATGTACAAGTTTATATTTTGGATAGATATGCTTTGTTAATGTTTGCATGTTTCACGTTTTGGCGGGTTTTCTGTCCTTGTGTGATACGGTTAAGGGTCGAGGAGGGTTTGCTGAAAGGAATGCTGCCTGCGGTCGAATGATCTGTGATGTAGAAATTTCTGCTAAGGAACTAATTCGTTGCAAAAGTTACCATTTGTCTGAACTGGTTCGTCAGATTTTGAAAACAGAGAGGATAACAATTCTACCAGAGGAAATTCGAAATATGTACAGGTATGTTGCTGATTTGTGTTTTTAATCCTTGACTGGAAAGTAGAGGAGCTAGTTTCCTGCTATACAATTTCATGCTTGCTTACTTGATTTGTCACAGAGATGTTGACTTAGCATACTGGTATTTGAAAAGTAAAATACTATCTTAACAATATTTTGTAATGTTTCAGGGTACTGGTGGGTGGTAGCTTATTACGTGTGAAGAAAATTTATTTGTGAGACCATTGGTTTAGATATGTTAATAGGATATGTAAGCTTAAGTCTGGGGGTTTGTTTCAATTAAAAGAGCTTACTATATAATTCAACACTGGTGTGATAGAGATAATACATGTTCCAGACAGCATATAAGTCTAAACTACTGCAGAGTACAAAGGAGGCTGATTTTACTTTACTAGGCCATCCCACTTCTTTTCCCAGTGATTCTCCTCACTTAATGTTCATGCTGGAAAACACCTGGACAGATGCCAAGTTCATTCTCCAGATCATGTGTGAGCTGAATGTTCTGCCACTGGCACTTCAAATAACAAACATCTCTGGGAATGTCATGGTACATTTTCATTACTTCCCCCCACCTCATTGTCCCACAAAAACAGTTCTGTTTTCTGTGTTTGATTTGTGAGTTTTAATTTGTAAACACTAATTGAGAGTATATGATGCTGTAAATTTTTTACAGTGATGAGTGTGAGTTTGATCTAGTCAAGTAATAAGATAAAACTTCCATAAAAATACCATATTTGAGTTCTGTGCATGGTGATGATACAGAATAATAGTTACTGGTGAACTGGGTGAACTTCTAAATAGTTGAAGGACGTTGCTGAGTCTGTTTTTGTATATCAGTGTTTTCCGTGCTTTGCTTTGAATTCTTTTTTTGCCCCTGTCTGTAGTCGAGGACAATGATGGGCGGACGGTCTGAACGTAACGAGTTCTTGCTGCTTCACGCATTTCATGAAAAAGACTACATAGTGCCGGACAAACAAGTTTTCAAAAAGCCTCCGCAGAAGCTGGTGGGTCCAGTTTTTCTCTTTCCAAGAATTTTTATTAATAAGAAAAAAAAAAATTCTTCTGTCTTTTGCATATTACTGTTCTGTGAGAGCATGGAGAACCCAAACACAGCCAGTTTTAGATATAACTTAATGTCACAGTTTATGCTTAATTAAAAACCGATTTTTTTGTTGAGTTGATAATGGAGAAATGTATGGTTTAAAGGGACAATGTAATCTTTTCCATTGTATCACAGATTTGTGGAAACTCAGTTGCTCTTTTA